TCTCTGCCGCTTTTGGAATAAAACGGCGATAAAAATTGATAATTGCAATGAATCGCCGTAGCTCATGCACTACCCTTGATTTTGGAAAATTTGCAATCGTTTCAATTTTCTTGCCTGGTGGACGGATTCCTTTATGATTAATGAGATGATCAGGGAATGTTACTTCTTCCTGTGCGAACACACATTTCGCAATGTTTATTTTCAGACCATGTTCCTGTAGTCATTGTAGCATGCTGCGCATAAGTTGTATGTGCTCGTGTATGTTATTGGATGCGATGTAAATATCATCAATATAGCATATGGCAAAGTTAAACTCGAAACCCGCAGTTTACAGCAATAATTACACCTTCCGGCCTGTATGAATTTAATGTGATGACTTTTGGACTTTGTAATGCAGCACAATCATTTCAAAGGTTCATGGACCAAGTTCTTTTCGGGTTTAACTTTACCATATGCTATATTGATGATATTTACATCGCATCCAATAACATACACGAGCACATACAACTTATGCGCAGCATGCTACAATGACTACAGGAACATGGTCTGAAAATAAACATTGCGAAATGTGTGTTCGCACAGGAAGAAGTAACATTCCCTGATCATCTCATTAATCATAAAGGAATCCGTCCACCAGGCAAGAAAATTGAAACGATTGCAAATTTTCCAAAATCAAGGGTAGTGCATGAGCTACGGCGATTCATTGCAATTATCAATTTTTATCGCCGTTTTATTCCAAAAGCGGCAGAGATCCAGGGACAGCTTCAAAACTTCATTAAAGGTAACAAAAAACAGGACAAAACTGTTATTGGATGGACCGCGGATACAGATAACGCATTTGCGGAATACAAAGAAGCCTTAATTAATGCAACAACAATCGTTCACCTAATCCCAGACGCGAACCTCGTACTTCACGTGGATGCCAGTAACGTAGCGGTTGACGCTGCATTAAATCAAATCAACAACGGACAACTCGAGCCTTTAGGGTTTTACTCAAAGCGGTTGACAAACACCCAAGTCAAGTACAGTACGTATGAGCGTGAGTTGCTCGCGATTTATCAATCGGTTAAATATTTCAAACATGCGATTGAAGGTAGACGTTGCACTATTTTCACCGATCATAAGCCGATAACGTATGCATTTCGACAGAAACCGGAAAAGGCATCGCCACATCAGCTGAGACATTTAGATTACATCGGTCAATTGACAACTGACATTATGCATATAGCTGGCAAGAATAATCTTGTAGCCGATTTTCTGTCACGTATCAAAGCTGTCAGCAATGAAGATCTAGTTGATCTTGACCAATTAGCAGCAAACCAGAAAACCGACATTGAAGCGTATGGCTTTCTGTCTAATACAAATAAATCTGCACTTCAATTGAAATGGATAGTCATTCCAAATTCATCTAAGGAAATTGCATGCGATGTATCATCAAATCGTGTGCGTCCTTTTGTAACTGAACAGTTCAGACAACGCGTCTTCAATTCAATACATAATTTGGCACATGCTGGTCGGCGAGCCACTATTAAGCAAATAGCAGAGCGTTTCGTATTGCGGAGCGAGTTAAATTATGTCTTCCGTGCCAACGAGTAAAAGTTACGCAGCATAACAGATCAGCGATTTTAAATTTTGACATTCCGAGTGAACGGTTCGCTGTAATTCACATTGACCTCATTGGGCCTCTACCATCGTCAAACGGTTACCGATATTGCCTTACATGTATCGATCGGTTTACCAGATGGCCAGTGGTAGTCCCTATCGAGGATATACATGCCACCACGGTGGCCACAGCGCTGATCAATGGTTGGATCATGCACTTTCGCGTCCCGAGGCAGATCATAACAGATCAAGGAAGACAGTTTGAATTCGCACTGTTCAATGAACTAGTCCACGTCATCCTCAAGCAAATGGTTTGATTGAACGATTCCACCGGACTCTGAAAACCGCAATGAAATTTAATCATGAGCATTAATGGTCTGACGCAATACCTTTGATTGTGTTAGCGCTTCGAAATATCTTTAAAGAAGACCTCAAAGCAAATCCTGCAGAAATGGTATATGGGACAACTCTGCGGTCGCCGAGCGATTTTCTGGAGCAAGGTAATAATGACAAAATTCTAGAACATGAATTCGTAGAAAATATGAGACATATGATGTCCCAAATACGATTAATTTCCACATCAAATCACTCAAAAGAAAAGATATTCTTACAGAAGGAACTGCAACATGTAACTCACGTTTTTTTGAGGGATGATAGTGTCCGCCCACCATTAAAAACACCGTATGACGGGCCATTTAAGGTTGTGATGCGTTCAGACAACACGTATGATCTACTAATCAAAGGCAAACCGGTGCAGGTGAGTGTTGATCCAGTAAAGGCAGCATTTTTATCAAGCGACTATGAAGACGTAAGCCTATCACGTACATAAACTATGGCAGCTAATCGAATGGATACCAAAACCAATAATGTAACACGAAGGGGACGATTAGTGTAGGTTCCAAGAAGATACGTTAAATTTGACTTAACGTGACATCGGGCCTGACTCAGTCACTGCCAGGGGAGTGATGTGGCGGTTGTATATTCACCACTTAACATTGAAAATAATATGAGTTGGCCATGCAAACATGAACAAATAAAATATTGAAAATGAGATGAGTTGGCCAGGCAGAAGAATTTGTAAAAAGCTAAGAATATTTTTATTTAGAAAAAGAGGATTGTCATTCGATTGTCATTCGTACACGTATAATTATTTTACTCGAAATGAAATTATTTTAAGTAAACAAATAAACAATTGAATTAAGTAGGGCAAAGCCTACAAACTTTTTAATAAGAAACGGGAAGATTCAATGATATGTAGACATCTGTATGCAATTTGGCCACGTTCCATTAAAATGAAATCCAATACTCTCATTGAGAGGCCCTTTAGAGATATCAGTCTAATGGAACGCTGATTCACAGTTTATAACGAATTAGGAAACCATGCTAGAAGATTGAATCTCCTTTCGATTATTCCTGTCGCAGTTCTGAAGAGGAAAATAAAAGTGTTTCTAATCTGCTTTGTTCTTGCCTTGCACATGCGCGGCACGAAGATACAAAGTAATAGATTAACGAATGCAACTTGGGTGGAGGGATACATTCATTATTTAAATGCGTATCACAGAACTCCACAGTTCCGGCGTAGCATAGACCACTATAGTTTGCCATATTGCTTGTATGTGAGCTGTCGATTTTTTCTTTATTATAACCTCTTGAGCAGATTGCAAGTGCTTTAAACATGTTGCACGTCTTCAACCGTCGGCAATCAGCGGGCAGGTATGCGGAAGAGGTAAGCATACTGTCAAATATGGCACTCCAGTTTTTTGATTTGTTGGCTTTAGGGATCCTGAGTTCTCTGATTGATGTGGGCGCAGTCAGTAATTTCTATTTCGAACATATTAAGTCACTTGAGAAGGTATGCATTGATTTTATTGCACAGTGCACTAGGCTCTCGCCTCATAGACATATGGAAAAAAACTATATGACAGCTTCCGTATTTCGTTCTGTCAAAAATATCATTGTTTTTATTTTTCAGTTCAGACCCGTTTGGAAGCGTTATTTGTATTCTCCTTATTGTTTTTACTTGCCGATGTTTAAGTAATTCTTCTAGCTTTTGATTACGAAACATTTTTTAATTAAATATCAGCGCTTTGTTGTATTAACGATTTGTATTCTCCTCTACGCCAGAAAATAATGTGTTATTAGGTATATTGAAATACTGAATTACTTATTTAGAAGACGAGCTTTGGTTTACTGTGTAGCCTCTGGAGGCATATCTAAAAAGAAGCCTTTACGCTCTCTAAAAAGTAGGTTTTTCGAAATATAACTTCAATATACTATTCAGTAAAAAACAAATCCTTTGGAGTATAATTTCACTTACTAAAATCGTATTGAAATATAAATTCTACGTGAGATGCAAATCTGTGGGGAAATATAACTTCTAGGCAGAAGATTATAGATGTAAAACATCTACTCAGTAAGAAAGTGTGTTGAGTATATCTTCCAATTATTTGAAGCTTTTAGATATTATAACCTCCATTCAAAATAAAGCAGATTTGTAAGAGTATAGAGTAATACCTCTATTTAACAACAAACCTACTATGTAGTATTAAATGGAAGTTGTAAAAGTACGATTTCCATTTACTTGAAATTTATAGAGATATAACTTCTACTCACTTTGCCCTTACTGGAAACTTGTGGAGATATAACCTTTACTCACTTAATAACTGATTTGTAGAATTAACTTCCCCTTGCTTCAAATTTGTATAGATTTAATCTCACAGCAGTAAAGCGGATTTGGGAGAATATAGCTTCTACTTAGTAGAGGTATATAGCTTGTAGAGGTATAACCTCCAAAAAATATTTTATGTTACACCTTATGTGTGAATTCTGTCGTTTATAGTATTTGTATTTAAACTCAAATTATAGTATTTATATTTTAAAATTAATATGTCATTCATTAAATGCTAGAAATTTATTTTATTTTTCATTGTATTTTCAGGCGCTCGTAATAAACATTAGTAGCATCTTTTTCGACTTAGTATGCATAATCTTATTTTTCCATTACATGAGTAAGTCTTGATAACCAACAAAACGTTTTTATCTTTAAACTTTTTAATTATTTACATATTAATCTAAATTATTTTAACAGATGGCTGGGCAGTTGCTTTCTCCATAATAAATTTGCTTGTACGCCCGGTGAGCGTTATTTTACTGTACCGTGAATTCAATTCACGCGGAGGCAGCATGCAAACTGGTTCAGTGTTCCCTACAACACAACAAAGAAGCTATCAAGATATTGACAGACCAGCACAATCGACACCCACCAATGCGCAGCCTGGTCCAAACGTTGCTAGTATCTTCTAGAAGTACTAAGAAGTCAATGCAACGTTTAATTTAGTTTTTTTTTTTGTTAATTTTAATTATATACGTTATCCTTCCAATTTACTCGAAAGACAATGTTTATTAAAATATTAAAAAAAATTATACTCTTATTTTACAGTATTTGGGCTATTAAATTTATTTTTAGAAGTTCAATGGATGAAATGTCTTTTGTATTTTGTGTTTTTTTTATACAACAATGAACAAAATAATTTAATTTATATATGCCTTAAAATAACAATAAGACAAATGATGTACTTGCATTTTGCTATTAAATATAAACAAAAAACAAAATTTTTGTAATTGAATTTAGGAGTATACATATATGTTTAAAGAATATTATAAATTATGTTAATCTCTTTTTATATGTATAAACTAATTGTTAATTATTTAAATTACCTTTCGTATATTTTTTAGCATTTCGGTATAAGAGATTGAAATCTATTCAAATTGTTAATCATATATATGTAAAAGGAAAAATCATACCATCTATTGTAATCTGTGCAATCAAATATTTAACCTACTAAAAATATATATAAACTAAACATAATTTTAAATTTATGTTTTCGTTTCCTAAAAATTTTATAAAGTAATCTACCCTTTTATCATCATCTAAATGTGCCATCTCAAACCATTTAAATTCTTTTGATGTCAGATTATCATAGTGACTTAATTTTAGTCCAATATACATAATTTCTATAGAAAGTAGAAGTGAAATTTCGGAACACAAGTGTATGAAATTGTTTGCAATTTAATATAATTGTGTTTTATGCGCTCCATCTAAGATAATACAGCAAGTGAATAGATTGCTGAAAAAACAACGAACTAGAATGTGTTATTTAAAAACTCATTTCAAGTACGTTCTTATTAAAGCTTGACGAGATATATATTGCAGGAGATATGAAAGGATAAAATACGAATATGCCTATGAGTTAGGTACTAGATATGTGAGTAGAAGAGAGGTTTTTTGGGGTAAGGAATGAATAAGGGATATATGGAATTTAATTGAAACTAGCGGAGAAATTTTGCCACTTCAATAGATTAGATCCAAAAATAAATAGGCTATGTACAAGGAGACATTATTAAAGCTTGACGAGATATATATTGCAGGAAATATGAAAGGATAAAATACGAATATACCTATGAGTTAGGTACTAGATATGTGAGTAGAAGAGAGGTTTTTTGGGGTAAGGAATGAATAAGGAATATATGGGATTTAATTGAAACTAGCGGAGAAATTTTGCCACTTCAATAGATTAGATCCAAAAATAAATAGGCTATGTACAAGGAGACATGAGTACAAAAAGGTGACATGAGGAGTATAACTACAGTTGAGCACACTTTGCAAATTGATATATTTATTCGTGAGAAGTGATGATGTAGTAAATGGCTTTACCCTGATCTCTATTGGAATAGAACATTGCTTGATGCACGAGATAGACGTTATTCTTCCCTGTAGATATTAGGTGGAGGATAGTTAAGACCTATATTGGTATGTAACCGTGGTCTGAAAGAAGATACTGCATCTGTGTGGAGAACTACAAGTTCACGTTTGTATTTGACCTAGCTGATGTTGATCCATTGTAGTAAGTATGAATGTAAACACGATACAAAGAAAGGATACGATAGATGATCCATGGAAGGAGGGCTCATATAGCAGTTGAAGTAGTCATCTGTGTGGCCCGCAAGTAGATATTACTTAGTCTTTAGTCTTAGTCTTAGCCCCCTTAGTCATGTTTTAAATTTTGACAGAATACAAGTACTTGCAGTCTAAAATCTACTTTTAAAAGTATATAATACTTGGACAGTGGGTGATTGAGCCTCTTAGTCAAGTATGACGTTTAGCCAGGCTTTAAGTTTTGGCAGGGTACAAGTACTTGCAGTCTAAAATTTATACATAGGCAATTAAATTCGAAAAAGTCTTTTCAAAGACATTGTCGGGTATTTGGGAGTACCCGAAACAACTATATGGTTAGCCAAGAAATCAAATCAAACAAATTTTATTAGTATAAAATTCAAATAAAATTTAATGTGAATAATTTAATGCGTTTGTGGCATAATAAATAAGTATAATACTTTACGACAGCAGGAAATACCTATAGTACATCTAAACCGCGTGATATGCACATAAACCATGACCCAGTGTTATCGATTTTAGATGTTCATAGCATCGATTTCTATCGATATCAGCAAAAGATATATTTTTTTAAAAGTTAGAAGGGTTCGAATAGAAATGAAAAGACAACAACAAAATTTTATATCAATTTATTGAAATTTGGCTGTTAATAGTCTGTATATAATTTGTTTGGTCTGCAAGAGCCAGAATAAGAACTCGTACCTGTCAAATAAGAAGCGATGAATAATCGCTTCTTACTCCACAAGTATTCACGGCTGCATAAACTTTCCGTGCTCAAGTTCCAGGTTTTTTGTCACCTTTTATTTTTTAAGTGACATTTACCAAACCACTTGCCGTGCTTTAAATTAGAACGAGCTTATAAACTACAGCTTTATTTAGAAACACAAGATTAACGAATTGAAAGTTAGTTCATGAGGTTCCTTTAATGAATGCAAATATTTGCATTTGTAAAATTGCACCCAAAAAAGGCATATTACATATAGTACTCGTAAGTAAAAATATGTATAACAGATATCGCTGCAAAAAAGAATAGCTTCAAATAAAAATAGGCAATAATAATTTTATATTATTGAAATAAATAGAAATTTTTAAATTATAATAATTTTCATATAATAATATTATATTTCATATATAATTAATTTTAACTTAACATGTACAAAAAAAATTAGAGTACTACCATATGCAACAATATTTTACAACAAATATACAAACTAAGAAGCTAAATTACAATAGTTAACAAACATTTTACAGAATGTTAGTTATATTATTAAGATCATAACAACAGGAATTGCAATTAATGATCATTTAAATTTTTAAATCATCATTTAGAAACCTTCTTTTGCCGCTCGAAATGAATATTTATTATTCGCACCATTCAAACAAGGTACTTGTACCAAATTGAAATATATTGAGCCCATAAGTTGTGATGCCGATGTGTTAGTTTTTTTGAGACAGGAAAATAACATATCATCGCAAATGCAATGTGATCTGTAAGATTTTAATATTAAAGAAAGATTTAGTTTCAATAATTTATACCATATATTCTAACTCACTTTGTATATATAGAATCGTTCATTAAATCGAATTTTTTTTGATAAGCGCGTATTTTTACAGGGCACAAATCATGTTGACGACAACAACGATCCATTGTCATTTCAGTACCCAAATCGGCGTATGTTTCCGCAATATCACCCGTACCGCACCATTTAGTACCTGCAGCATATAACGTAAAAATAAATTTATTTAAATAAAAAATATTATTATACATACCTGGTATTATGCCACTTAATATAGAAAATGGACTTTTTGGAAATATGTTTGTTGCCAAACTCAATGCCGTGTTGGTGCTGGCGGTGCTCGTGGAGTCTGCCGACTTACCACGATTTCTCGCTTCATATGTCAATTTATCTACTCGTTCACATTGTGACATTAGTTTAAGCATTTCTTCAAATGTTATCATCAATGGACGATTATATTTTGAGAGATTCTCCAAAAGCGTTTTACCTTCATTTTCATTGCTAAGAAGTGCAATAAAAATATTAAAAAAGATGGTAGATATATCTAAATGCTAATTCATTGAAATTTTAAGGTTTTTTTAATTACTAATTTTGCATTTTATACGATTTAAAATGATTAAAAGTAAAAATATGTAATTATGATGCAAAGCGGATAGTGTCACGTACCAAATATTAATTAAAGGTAAGCGTTGGAAGCATTTTTGCAGGTGATTATTATTTCTGATATGCACTATCCAACATATATGGAAAGTTGGCTTAAAAATACATTTCCGCCTATTAATTTATTCAGCGACAGTTAATATTTTTATTTTATTTTACATTACATGTCACCAATTGTTTATAAAGTTTTATTAAATTTATAATGGAATTGTGTAGTATAAAATATTCTATAAAATTTCAGGTATGAATTTGTACTACATTGACCTGATTTAACAGTTCTATAGAATTCCATAGATTAATTGTTTTTTATACACAATTTTTATAAGTTTTCATGCGAATTTATAAATTTTATTTAATTACTAAAACCTTCATTGTTTTTATTTTCACAGCTGTATTTATTTTTTTGTATTATTATATGTCTGGGCTCATAATTACTACATAAACTGTAAAATAACATCCCGAATTAAAGAAATATACAATAAAGAAACTGAATCTTTTGAGTCTTAAGTAAGTTAACTGGTCTAACGAAGCTAGTGGAAACGTACTATTAAGGTATTAGAAGGTAGTGTGTTCACAATTGTATATGGAAATTTAGCCATAATTCATTTTTCAAGTAATTGTTCCAAATGGAAACAAAATCATTGCGCTATTCATGGCTACAAGATGTATTAAAGAATACTATGCCTTATGTATATAGAAATGAACGGGATACATTTACAATATTGCATTTGAGTTTACTTCAAGCACTTATAAATATATGCTCTCGATATATTAAAAATTTGGTGACCAAAAACTGTCATAAATATTAGCCTATGACATATAACACAACAAACTTACGTTCTGAAACATATATCTCGTCCTATACAAGAGCATATATCCATGGAACATTCTAAGAGTACCCAGAGAAGAATTGCAAATGAAATGTTTAAAACATTTAATGAGTTGAGGTATATGGTACCGAACAGGACATTATGTAAACAGTATGTAAATAGACTTGGTTTTTAAGTATTTACGAAATATTTTGTTTAATTAACTGGTCGCACGATGGAGACAATACATCTCTTGAATAGGTCTCAGCAACTGTAACCACTCACATAAGACCATAGGGGTTATTATATAATCTGATTATATGATCACCAACAGCCCTTTAAAAATATTTGATCATTTCATTAAACACAACTTTAAAATTCATATAGATTTTATTAAAATACACTAATTAAATTAAGTAATGTAAATGTTTTATATAAAAATTGCAACTTACTATATTTCGATTAATTCACAACTAAGTAGTAGTTTCTCTGGACCCAATTCCGTGACTGCCACCGTTGAGTCATGGTAGTAAATCATTAAGAGTGAATCATTCGTTAAACGTTTTCCACTGTAAAAAAAATCCGTTAGAAAGCTATTCATATATTTTCAATATTATTATTTATATATCATTAATAGCTAATATTGTCAAATCATGCATATAATACACAAAAAAATTCTACCTTTGCGGAATAAAACGCAAAATCTCTCACGGGCATATTCATATATAATCTGACACACTGGCAAGAAGAGCAACTACTGCAGAACCGGTTTTCGCATTAGTGAATATAGTTAACAATGATAAAAAATCAAATGCCTTCAAATAGCTAATTTCAGATAGAAGTATCCAGCAATATAAAAACGATCAGAACATTATCAGCAGGATCAGATAAACTGTTCTGAGAGCTAGCGGCAGATAAACGGCACAAACTGGACCGAAACGATCTGCTTAAGGCACAAAAGCGCTGATTGAATTAATGGAATTAGCCACCACTTGAATCCACCAACATTAAACCAACATTTAAATTCCGAATTCTTTTGTGTTTAAAAAACACAAATAATTTGTTCGCTGAAGTGTGATTATACACTGCTCTGGTATTATTAGAGGCTTAAGAGTAGTCTTTATTGTGTGTTCACATTAATTATTTTTACAATTATACCTTCGAATATTTTGAGATAACAAAAAGTAATAATATTGTAGTGCTAAAAAAATATTTTGAAAATATCTACTTCTATGTCATAGCACCTCCCACCTAGGCCCGTGCAAACCTTCAATAGGAGCAGGAATTAAAATGGAAGCAAACAATTTGCAGAAACTTGGCTCCTTATGGAGTGTAGCAAAGATATTGTTATCATATATTATATGGCTATTACAAATATATTTCAACCAAATTTTGTGAATACTTGGTTCTAAACAGAACTCATCTATGTTTGTATTAAATTTATAATAATCTTTTACAATAGTTTTAACAAATGATTTGTTTTATATATCTTTATGAACAGAGAGTGCTATTTTAAAGCACAATACATAAAGGATTATCCATTTCATGGTTATGATTTGGAGGCACTGTTTAAGTGACATATGTTTAACAGAACTATCATCCAAGACAACATTTTCAGGTTTACTCTATGGATAATATGGTTAGTTAAATATATGGAAGCATTCAATGTGTAAAAATTATAAAAATTTCCTGAAAAAAAATGGTAATGTATTTGCTTAGTGGATATTTTAATAAACAAAGTTGTCGAATCTGTGATAGTAAAAATCCACATGTAACATTCGAAGGACCATTTTATTTATAAACATGACATTTGACATTTGATTTGAAATGTGATAGGATCGGCTCGGTGGAAGCACATAATTAGTATTTTTTGATTGATAATCATATGGTATAGTGAAATTAAAGATATGGATGTGGAAGATATGCGGCTTTCAACAGAACAGTGCCTCAAGCTACACAACTCGACCGAGAATTTTGATTTTGTCGCGCGAGAAATTTACTTGACGTGTAATTTTTCGTTTTGTAATGTGTATTGTCTACCAAGATCTCGCGATTTACCAGTATTGGAATTTTTTCGTAGAGTTACGCAACGGATTGTTTGCATGAGGATAATACTCAAACACTGAAAAGGAACTTCCACAACTTCATCAAGTTACAGCCGAATTATTGACAGCTACTTCCCGACAAGTCATCGCAAACTACCTCAAAATGACAAGGTGGCAAAGTATAAATAATAGTAGATGTTAAAATATAAATTTAATTGAAATCTTAGTTACATGTCCGTTTACTGTCTCATCTATCATATAAATAACTCTGTATATTCCATGGAGTAAGATGGAGTAAATGGATTAAAATCGAGTACTGCTAAACCAATCAGATCAAATGGATGAAATTGGCTTACTATATCTTACAGTGTAATAGACTATAACTGTCAATAATGATTTTACAAATTTATTAATTTGATTACATTTAATTTAATGTCAAAGGATAATTTTGCAAATACATTATGGCTAGCAATAATAAGTTAGTATAAAGCATATATAAATACTTGACTGTAATAACGGTCTGGATGATTTTTTGAAACAGTCACGTACATGGAATGGAATTTTTTATGAAATAATTGTTAAAGGCACGTAATTGTGTAGCGTGTCCCATTAGTTCTAATTTAAAAACTCTAATAAATTTATCGCTTGTAAATTTTTAAAATTATTTACTAAACTATTATATATTAATTAGGTGGTTTAGATAAAATACCAATAAGCTTTGGATACAACGTGAACATGTTAAAATAACTAGTAAGTACATCATAATAGTCATATAATAATAATATATTATCATTTAAATGTAATTAATGATAATGAAAAAACATTTTTGTCTTAAATTGTTTGAAATTATTATAAGCCAGTACACAATAGTGATGCTAACTGTAATAGTAAAATATATTTTTAGATAAAATTTGTTCATAAGATTACATAATATAGTTTAGATAATTTGTTACATGTTAGCTGGATACAACTATCTTATTGCAACAAAGTATATATGTAGATGAAGTGGACAACAAGTAATAGTAGTAAATTGTGAAGTTCTTTTAATGTCCATCAAAAAACACAACTACGGATCTGTATCACACCAAGGCAAACAATTTTTCGACGTTTGCACTAATAAGACTCATCTACTACATCATCATTAATCTACTTATTTCCCCATTCCAAACCGTCTCCATCTTTTATTCTAATTCCACAACATTAAAGAGGCTGAGTATGCTTTCTATATGTTGACCCCTATGAAGTTGCCATCTCTCTACATAATGACTAACAATAACGATTTGGAACGATTACTAAAAAACCAAA